TTGGCTGCGATATTGATTATACGACAAGTATTTTCAATATGGTGTCAGCTAATGTGTTCACAGTGTTTCCACGGGAGCAGTGTTCTAGTTTCAAGCCTGAATTGATGCTGCGCTAACTTGTGTGAGGAAGCTATTCTGACTTGTAGCCATGTTGAGTAAATAGAAAAGGATAACCTAAGAAAAATAAGAAAATTTACTTGTGTAGGTCTTCTACAAGATGCGACTAACAACAGTCGGCTAACTCCTAGGTTTACTGTCTAGGTAGAAGGGTCAGCAGGTGTTAGGAAACCTACTCGCATATCTTGCCTTTGCCTAATTTAGCCCTCGAGTACTTTTGATTGTAAGTTATGATAGGTATTATTAGGTTTAAAATCTATCAACTACATGGGTCGTTAAAGCTGGAATTCGCCAGTAGACTAACATGCAAAAAAAAATTCAACCCTTAAAAGTCCCTGCTTCTGCAATTCAGTGCTAAACTTTTACACGAAGTTGGCATCAACGAAACAGATCAGCACGCCCTAGTCTGGGTCACATCCGAACGCCAGTCAGTTGATTTGCCAATCTGTTGACAAACCCTTGTACTGAGCAGCTAGCCAGATGCCTTGATGGTTCAAGGCTCTTCCCGGTGATCTGTTGCTGCATCCTGGGGCATATTTGCTCCTTCCTGCCTCCCACCGACATGGCTGACGAACTTTACTGTACCCGGAATTCTGGTAATAGGGCTCATGCGGTTCCTTATGCTATCGCACCCTTTAAAAAATAACTACAACAGGCACTCACGCCTCTGGTGACACAATTTTGAGTTTAGTGAAGAATTATACATTTTATTGATAATAAATAAATGTTTAATGATAACAAATTTTAATAGCACATTTTAAATCGTAATGATCATAGGTGCGTCATTCTCGTTAGTTTGTAATACTTTGTCATTAATAACTGTCATTGCTATCATTAATAACTGCCTTTAATCGTAACATAAAAAACAACAGGAACAACAGTAGTGAGGAATTATCTAATGTCACTTAAAAAAAAAAAATTCCACGGAACGGGTGGGGTTTGAACCCAAGACGATTGAGTATTAAAACTCCAGGCCAATCACGTTATTACGATTTCGCGAAGCATGTTACTTATCAAGTAACAAAAGGTGTTTAAGAAACGTAACTAAACCATACCTAACTTAATTGAATGTCTCCCCTCTAATAGTTACTGTATCCTGTCTAACTTGATGTTTTGTCTGGATTTAGAAGGATAGTGGGAAGTGTATACAGAGCATTTGGTAGTTTATGTTAAGTTTTTAAAACTGAAGTTCCAAGAAAATTAACGTAGTGAAATGAGGATAGATTGCTGGCAGAACTTGTTCGCTGGAGCATCCTCAGCTTGCCTGTCATAGCTGGAAAAAAAAAGTATATAATACCTACAGGCTGACGATCAAGAGACACAGGCAAACTCTTAGGCCAGTTTAACGAGGAAACGTTTCGGTCCTAGGAGTATATAAGGTCACAGAACTTATCGTCTAAATGTACGAAATGTTTGCCTGTCTTTATTCTCAGCTTCCTAGTTATAAGAAATATATTTCATCAATTACAGGAAGCCAAATTTCTCTCTCTCTCTCTCTCTCTCTCTCTCTCTCTCTCTCTCTCTCTCTCTCTCTCTCTTTAAATGAATTTACTGCTAAAAGTATTTTACTGTGAAGTCAATTTTTCGTCAAATAATATTAATAAAAAATGATTTTCATAGTAACTGGCAAGTATAAATTTATTTTCAAGTTTGTTAAGATTCGAATCTATATTAATTTATTTATGTTGACTTGATAACGCTGAATGACATATTAATTACAATTATAATTATATAACAAAGCAGGACTTGGAAATTTGCGTAATAATTCGTTATAAAAGAACACTGCAACGAAGAAAATAATTTTTAATGTAATTAATATAATTTTATCTGTATTATATTTAATTCAAACGGAATAAATTATTTATTTATATGCGAATAGTACCACTGTAAACTTATTGCCCGTGGCCTCGCGATCCGTGGCCTCGTGACCCGTGGCCTCGTGACCCGTGGCCTCGTGACCCGTGGCCTCACACGACCTTTATTCTTTCCCGTCTTCGCTTAATTAGGCTTTTCAATGTAGAGAACAAGAAAAAAGAAAATCATGATAAATGGGAACATAAAGAATCTAAACATTAGATCGCTGTAGATTGGTCAGGATCTGACTTTGTAGACTGGTCGGGACCTAATTAACACCCAGACGTTGTAGACTGGTCGGGACCTAATTAACACCCAGGCGTTGTAGACTGGTCGGGACCTAATTAACACCCAGGCGTTGTAGACTGGTCGGGACCTAATTAACACCCGCTCGCTTTAGCCTGGTCGTGAGCGTCAGTAAACACCCGAACATTTTAGGTTAATCGGTGTCTTCAATAACCTCAAGACTTCAAAACGAATTAGTTCTCCAGAAAGGAAAGATGCCGTTGGTAACTGTAGGCAAATGATTCATTATAATTTTTTCTTTTACGAGCGTGCTATTATCTCTGAGCTGATGAGAATCCTTGGCCAAGTTTTGCAATTACCTACTTTTAATTCTGCACACATCAGAGTTTCCGGAGAGATGAATGTTTTCCTTCGTTGATGTTTTTTTACTCGGTTCTCTAGACACAGTTCGCCCTGTTATCTCCTTCAGAGCGTTGCTCTCGCGTTCTAATGATTTAATCGTCGCCGAAAGGAGGATCGAGCCTCCAACCCTGATTGATCTGTAGTGCTTGATAATGGCTTCTGTGGTTTTTGATAGTGGTTCCTGTGGTTTTTGATAGTGGTTCTTGTGGTTCTTGATAGTGGTTCCTGTGGTTCTTGACAGTGGTTCCTGTGATTCTTGATAGTGGTTCCTGTGATTCTCGATGGTGGTTCCTGTGGTTCTTGATGGTGGTTCCTGTGGTTCTTGATAGTGGTTCCTGTGGTTCTTGATAGTGGTTCCTGTGGTTCTTGACAGTGGTTCCTGTGGTTCTTGATAGTGGTTTTTGGGGTTCTTGATAGTGGTTCCTTTGCTTTCTTATAGTGGTTCCTTTGCTTTCTTATAGTGGTTCCTGTGGTTCTTGATAGTGGTTCCTGTGGTTCTTGACAGTGGTTCCTTTGATTCTTGATAGTGGTTCATGTGGTTCTTGATAGTGGTTCCTTTGGTTTCTTATAGTGGTTCCTGTGGTTCTTGATAGTGGTTCCTGTGGTTCTTGACAGTGGTTCCTGTGATTCTTGATAGTGGTTCCTGTGATTCTCGATGGTGGTTCCTGTGGTTCTTGATGGTGGTTCCTGTGGTTCTTGATAGTGGTTCCTGTGGTTCTTGATAGTGGTTCCTGTTGTTCTTGATAGTGGTTCATATGATTCTTGATAGTGGTTCATGTGGTTCTTGATGGTGGTTCCTTTGCTTTCTTATAGTGGTTCCTGTGGTTCTTGATAGTGGTTCCTGTGGTTCTTGACAGTGGTTCCTGTGATTCTTGATAGTGGTTCCTGTGATTCTCGATGGTGGTTCCTGTGGTTCTCGATGGTGGTTCCTGTGGTTCTTGATGGTGGTTCCTGTGGTTCTTGATGGTGGTTCCTGTGGTTCTTAATAGTGGTTCCTGTGGTTCTTGATAGTGGTTCCTGTGGTTCTTGATAGTGGTTCCTGTGATTCTTGATAGTGGTTCCTGTGATTCTCGATGGTGGTTCCTGTGGTTCTTGGTGGTTCCTGTGGTTCTTGACAGTGGTTCCTGTGATTCTTGATAGTGGTTCCTGTGGTTCTTGATGGTGGTTCCTGTGGTTCTTGATGGTGGTTCCTGTGGTTCCTGTGGTTCTTGATGGTGGTTCCTGTGGTTCTTGATAGTGGTTCCTGTGATTCTTGATAGTGGTTCCTGTGATTCTTGATAGTGGTTCCTGTGATTCTCGATAGTGGTTCCTGTGATTCTCGATGGTGGTTCCAGTGGTTCTTGGTGGTTCCTGTGGTTCTTGACAGTGGTTCCTGTGGTTCTTGATAGTGGTTCCTGTGATTCTTGATAGTGGTTCCTGTGATTCTCGATGGTGGTTCCTGTGGTTCTTGGTGGTTCCTGTGGTTCTTGGTGGTTCCTGTGGTTCTTGACAGTGGTTCCTGTGGTTCTTGATAGTGGTTCCTGTGATTCTTGATAGTGGTTCCTGTGGTTCTTGATAGTGGTTCCTGTGGTTCTTGATAGTGGTTCCTGTGGTTCTTGATAGTGGTTCCTGTGGTTCTTGATAGTGGTTTCTGTGGTTTTTGATAGTGGTTCCTGTGGTTTTTGATAGTGGTTCCTGTGATTCTTGATAGTGGTTCCTGTGATTCTTGATGGTGGTTCCTGTGGTTCTTGACAGTGGTTCCTGTGATTCTTGATAATGGTTCCTGTGGTTCTTGATAGTGGTTCCTGTGATTCTCGATGGTGGTTTCTGTGATTCTTGATAGTGGTTCCTGTGATTCTTGATAGTGGTTCCTGTGATTCTTGATAGTGGTTCCTGTGATTCTCGATGGTGGTTCCTAAGGTTCTTGATAGTTTTTTGTAAGGTTCTTAATCTGAATGCCCAATATGGTTGTAGTATTTAACAAAGTAAATATTAAATGTTACTCCTCTCAGCCACTTTACTGAGAGTCTCATTTTCTATGTGTGATTCTTTTTCGAGGCCTGGTCTCAGACCGAGCCTCGGGGGCGTTGACCCCCGGAACCCTCTCCAGGTATTCTCCAGAGGCATTTCTGCAAATTGATATGCGTATCTTGTTGATGCGGGTAGTGTCAGTAACCTGTGTGGTTTTCTCTTGCACACATGTATGAAATGTCAGGTGGGTTGTGTGTGTGTGTGTGTGTGTGTGTATGTGTGTGTGTGTGTGTGTGTGTGTGTATGTGTGTGTGTGTGTGTGTGTGTGTGTGTGTGTGTGTGTGTGTGTGTGTGTGTGTGTGTATGTGTGTGTGTGTGTGTGTGTGTGTGTACCAGGAGCCCAGGACTCAGCCGTATCTCCTCCCCAGCAGGAGAACATCCAGCAGCGATGCATCATGGGGGAGGGCCTAACACCCGGCCGGCCATCTCCTTCACGCTGCTGCTATCGTGTCTGTTGGCGTCCTGGCTGCTCTCTGCGTCAGCGCCTGCAGCAGCACCTCGCCACCATCCTCTGCTCACCTCACGACCCAGGTGATCCCAACATCCAACGTCACTCTCATGCATTTACATCGTAACCTCCTGAAGGGCGGCTCAAGCCATATGTACCGTTGCTGCCGTGATAATAGTGGTACTCTCGTCACGGCACCGTAATAATGGTGGCGCATTCGTCACGGCACCATTGCTGTTACTAGTGATCACCGTGACAAAAATGACCCGCCAACCTCCCCCACCTAAAAACCATTTTCCCCCCCTCCCCCACATTCACCAAGTTGACTGTTATATATTTTTATAGACTCTGGAAAAAATATATGAGTGATTCAATAAAGCAGTGAATATATTTAGATAAAGCTCTTGTTACACTTGTGACTATCTGAGATTGTTGAGTGTACGTGGTAGTTAACGCTCCCTCCAGGGTGGTCAGCTACCCATGGTGAACAGGGTCGTTTTACACCACGAGTGTTATTAGTACATACTG